TGTATTGTATTGTCTTTTAATAGTGGTCGGTAGCTTTTGAAAATGTGCAGCCTCCCCTTGATCGGTGTTTAAATGCCCTGTACACAAGCCATACCTTATCCCTAAGATCTAAAATAAGATGAAGTTGAACAGGAATCTGATTCGAGGGAAACCGAATATGGTAAACACCACAGGAGTGACGTGTGTGTTGAGCCAAACGATGCTGAGCGACACAGTTTACACGAATCCTGAAATTTCTGAACTAGAATGTGAAATTTTAGCTCTAAACGTGGAAGGTAAAAAACTGCTAAATATCAAGTGAAATGAGACCAGTCTTTTTTTTAAGAATATGGAAGACAGCACCACTTTAATCCTGCCCAACCCAAATGACCCTGAAAAAGGTGGACCATTCTGAGCTCAGGCTTACCATTAACTATGAAACAGTAAAACCTTGGATCAGAACTTGCCTTCTCAGGTGTCAAGTTTCATAATGCAAAAGGGCATTTGATTTGTAATAAACCATAACTTGATATTTATTATCTATCACCCTTCCGTTTGGTAAAGCAGCCAACCATGAAATTGTGCTTGATATGACAACACCACACTCTAAGCCCTGGATATGAATGTATATGTACATATTATAATTATTCATGCTAAACCAATATTTTTCATGTACTCAGTATATTTAGTTGCTGTTTAAGACCGATTTGCCATTCAATATTATTAGAAACATCATTCTGTGACACGAGAGTATTTTGAACAAACCTTGCTTGCAGTGAGAGATGTTCAGTTTCCATTCGAAAACAAGTGCAAATTACAGCTAGTTGACTTGAACCTTTTACTTTGAAACCAAAACGTATCTTTGCTCTGACCTTTTGATTCTTAATAAGGGATGGATTAGGAATTTTTAAATAACTTATAAATTGGTCCTTTGAAAAAAGGAGCATTTGCATTCCCACTCAAGCTGGTGTGTCAGTGTCAATTGGGAATTCAGGAAATGAGCCATCAACAGCTCTAGGTCTTGGCAAATTGGAATAGTTGTCATAACACTGAAGTTTGCCCCCATTGGAGAGAGATATTTAACTCACTAACAGTGGAACCTCGTGTCCAGTTAATTTAGTTGAAACTATTGCAGGACAGTTAATTGTCTTAAGTGAATGAAAGAACTAATTTGCCCTCTCTTTATTTTGGACAACATGTTGCCTGGCTGCATACAAGGGACACCTTAAAGCCCTCATTTCTCCCTGAGCATTTCTCTCTGTAATAGGGATTGATGACATTTTATGCCTTGTATGCATTATATGAATTAGGGTTCGTACCCTAGGTTCTTGGTTTGTGCTGCTGTTTTGAGTTGTGCACATTCCAGTTCTTGGGAATTCAGTGAATTCAAACGCTTATACAATAAAAACGTGTGATTACAGTAACCATTTCCTCCTGCTGTACAAGAGCATTTATCACAACTGTTAACATTGTGAGGCCTTTTATTCTTCCTCAGAGATTTAAAGCATTCCCCTCTACATGAATTTATTGTCCATATAAGCCTTCAATAATCGTCGTGACAGTAGTTTTCAAATAAAAATTTGTATCCTTTTAGGAGGTGCTTTTTGATTTTTTCGGTGCTAGTTCAACAATGTAAATGTAAGTAAAGTGCTTTGGAAGAATTGATGCATCCCTGCTCCAGCTCTCTTCAGTGGCTACATCTCTAACCAGAAGTCGGGCTGAGAGCTTTCTGGATTACTGAGCTACGCCTTCCCAGAGTGAAAATTATTCGCTGCAAGGGTCGATTGGAGTATAAACGTTTTTATCCAACTTCTTTCTTTCCCTAAAACCTATAACTAATAACATAAAAACTGATGATGAAAAGCATAAACTTTTTATCGAAATAGAATTATCGTACATTTTGAAAGGATCAGAATAAAAGCTAATTGAAAGGATTTTTCATGTCGCTATAAATACCTGATAGATAATCTAAGTCTCCTACGAGCGGTAATAATTAATCGTTTTCAGCTTTTTTAATAAAGGCCCGCGTGAAAAATGAAAAAGTATCATAACCATTGCTTAAAAAGATTACCTGGGAAGAAGTTAAGCTCGTATCTGTTGACGTAAGCCACGACGATTACTTTAATTCGCATTTTTTTTTTTTTTGCATTTATATCAGCTCTCCTTTGTCCTCGATATCATCGATCCAGGAATATCATTGCACGAAAGCTTTAAAGTTACGATAACATACCCATAAATACATTGTATAAAGAAAATATTCCTCTTGATATAAAGTAAAAAGATTCCTTTTTATATGAACACACTGCAAAATCAACGTCAACAGAGCTTTCATCTTTGGTAGCCATTTTGGCCACGTGTATGATCTTTCTGCGAATGACATCATTCATTGAAAATTCAAGATGGCGCCCAGACTTATTAAAAGCGTGTATAGAGCAACGCAACGCAAGTTGCAACCATCAACAGCCGTCCGCCATAATTTTAAAATACATAGATGCTTTGTTCCTTAGCACGTGGCTTTACCACGTGACTCTATTGAGCGAGAAGTCCCGTGGCGCGCTAGGTCGAGCAGATTTTATTCATCCAGTATGATTTATAAACGTAAGATAACGATGTGGAGGAATTTCTTGAGCGTTTAGTTCTTTATGCAACACGAGAGGTGAGCGTTTATTTATATAGTTTTGTTTAGGGCTTATTTTATCTTTGTTCACCGTAACTGTGGTTCTGTGTCAAAATCGATTAGATTACTATTTAGATTACACTGCATGTTAATGTTACGTTATGGTTGATACGAATTTTAGAAGTTTCAAAACTTAGTAGCTGATCAATGATTGATTTAAAATCTGGCTGTGTAGAGATCTACACAGAGAGATTCGATGAATAATGATTGGGGATCGATAGTACATCTTGCACACTGTCACACACTGTGAAACAACGCGCGTTATCAAACCGGTCGATGGGCTCGAAATGCATGCATATTTTGATACTTTATTTGACTGATGCAGTTTAAGGCTGATTGTTCGTTTTTGTTGGGAGATACACTAGCTCCCAACTGTATTGCACCTCAATGTCTTGTTTTCTACTGGACTTGGGCTTAATAATTTTTATCGTCACTGGTTACTTATTAAGTACTCGCATGATTAGAAATCGGATGTGTCCGGAACTAAGAATTCTCATCAATTTTCTTTTGAATGGATCACGAAACACTTCTGCTGAGATGGCTTATCTATATGAATAGTGCCTTTGTAGAATGGGCTGTGTCTAGACGACGTGTTCTTAATTCTTTTGGAAGACTATATCTGCATATCTATTGCATTTTTCCGGTTTGTCAAGTCCGTGACTGCGGGTATCAATTTTTAAAAATACCCCGAACACAATATTTAAAATCTGTTTGAAAATAAATTTGGTTGACTTTTTTCCTTTGAAGTATATTTTTTACCATTGAGGACAGCTGGGTTTTTTTCAAAACACCCTATAGACAAACTGTTTAAGTTAGGATTGGAAACAGGTTTCCATTTAAATACCTTTTAAATGAGGATAGTTTGTGAAAATACAGTAAAAACAGCTAGTTTTAATCCTGTTTGGAGAGATTTCAAGGTGTTCGTCTCTTCAAATCTCAATATAAATTGAACTGCCTCTTAAACCTTCTTCAAACATATTTTAATTATACTATTTATGAGCTGTTTAAGGTCGTAGACGAGGAAGTATATTCAAAATAGTAATTAAACATCCTAATTAAAACCTGATTTTGAACTTTACTTGTAAAAACTACCTTTTAAATCTTTGATTTTAGGTTCTACTTTCCAAAATGCAGTTTAAATACGGAATTTGAAAAAATTTTAGCAACTCGCCAGTACTCTCTTTCCAAAAACATAGTTGAAATACTATATTTAAAATGTAGTTTTGATAGCAAATATGTTTCTAATACAAGGAAAACCTGGGAAAATGTTATAAATATTATTCAAATAGACGTCAAATACAATTCAAACTTCTAACGCTATTTTGGTTTTAGTCGTGAAATATAATAGAAATACCTCAAATTGTGGTAAAAATAGTTTCTAAATCGTGTAAATAGCTTTAAACTACCTCACACACAGTTTTAAAATACAGTTGATTTGGTGCGGGCTATGTAAGCCAGACAGCGATTTCTTCTGAGAAGCGGCACATATCTGTAGGAAGAATCGTGGTTGTGCAATTAGTTGTAATATTTACCTACTAACTTAATTTAGCCAATTAATATAGCAGTCCTAAATCGTATCGTACTAATTTTTTGTTGATTTAACAATCTCATATCCAACAAGCGCGAGTGGAAAAGTTGTTTTACATAAAACGTCCACAAAATATCGAGAATTCTTCCCGACTTTATTTGTAAAAACAACCGATTTTCAGCTTGTTTTTCATTTTGAGCAGAGGCGTACAGTTACAATATTTGGAGAGCATGGTATAACAGCTCATTTATCATGATGGCTAAGCCAATCAGAGCTCTAGAATTGCAGTTTTTACTAATTATATGTATATTTGGCGCAACTGGCTCAGCTTATGCTTGAGCACACTTAAGCTTAGCACATGAGTATTTCTTCTCACCTCGAGGATGTTAAAGAGAGTGGACGTCCGATAGGTTCAAACCCAGATTCCCTACAATGCTCCTGGTACAGCCGAATAAGTCGGGATGCTACGACTGTTCTAACCACGTTAAGTATTTCTATTGTGTGGCCGTCCGAAAGTTTCAGATTTTTAGTTCCGTACGCTACATCCTGAAGAAATGATGGACTTGAAATAAAATCCAAGGAGTGATCCACTTTGACAGGATCAAGACGACATCGTTGCAAGACAGGTGGATCGATCACTTGACCAGGACTGTTAAGGTTCGCATGCTTTCTGGCCCCATCTATTCTCCATTTAATTAATCCTGAAATATAGTTTAATAACTCTGTTTTAGAGTAGTCGCAGACAAAGACCGACAGGATTTGTTGCCTTGTGTACCAACTTGAGACCTCATTGTAAAGGATAATGAGCCTAGATAGTTATGTCTGTTCAGGAGTGTTCACCTCTGAATTAGTGGAATGACAGTACTTTTCCATAACTTGCTGCGTAAGCCACTTTGATTGTTCAGGTACTATAACCTCAAATACCGTCCCCAAAACTTGTGCTCCTTTGTGCTTGCAGTAGCGTGCGGTGGAAGACGAGACGTTATCGGCATTTGTGCTTAATTGAGACCACACCGGGATCAAACTTCCATCGGCATGCCTCAGGAAGTTATTAAGGGCGTGGAGTTTCAGTTGTACTTGTGGCGTTGGCTGCCATTCCAAGGATGTTTCCACAGCGGTTAATGATTCGTGTAAGCCAGAAAAAAAAACGTCTGAGCAATCATCACCTGGTTGTCCTGGTTGGGCTCCACCTGTAACCAGAGGCAGATCACTACCGAGATTGGTTGGTAGGCTAAGTTATAAAGTAGCAACAAATTAGATTAGTGCATTAGGTTACTACATGATACAATACGTTATATATCAAAAAACACAATCTACAGATATTGGCAATAGCCTGAATTTTGAGGATGAAGAATTTGATTTTTGGTGAAGGTGGAATTCATTTTACACATTTTCCTTTATCAGAGCTGAACAAGAAACCATAGTTGACGATTTAATCTTCGCAAGGCTGCGAGCGTTTAGTTGAATTGAAATAAGCTACTTGTCCCGCAAAACTGCCTAGTTTTCAATGAGGTGACGTTTGTGCTCCCGGAACGCTGAATCAGCACATCACCATGGGTGAAGATCGCCTCCAAAATCACTTGCTACTGTGCAAATGGCTTTTTTTTGCTAAGCATGTTCATCTACAGACAAACCTTTTTTTCCCGGAAGGGATACTCCCTTCACACGGGGAAGAGAGGCTTCACTCGAGAGGAGGACTTCTCTTAAGGTTTAGGTATAGAGAAGCGTAATGAATTGACATGATACATAATAATAAACTTCTAATGGAAGGGTCTCGCACTCAACGAGAACTGAATAAATAATATTATCTCTTCTGATAGCTAACACCTGTAATGACCTGCAATATCACTTTTGAACCGCAGTCTGAGGGCTTACGAAAGGATCCCCCCGTGGAGAAGATTGCGGTGGATAATGCAGGTTTTTAAAAAAACTGCAAACCCCTAAACCTTTTAAAACTCGCAATCTCCGTTTAAACCAAATGCCTCTTCTGATCTCATTTCATTCTTCTTTACGAATATAGATCCTTTTAATTTAGTTGAAATCTCCTTCCTTAAAAAAAAAATCAAATATTCCACTTTCAAAAATGATCGGCAGAACAACAGTACAGTGGCATACCTCTAAAGTGCTTTCAACATCGTGTGCCACGAGTGGTGCTGGAGAGAGAAAGGGGTCTAGTATGTGGACCGAAAAACTGGGCAAAACGTTAGACTGCGCTTGGTCTGGAGGCTCATATTGTTCTCTACGAAGATCCTCCTCTGACTGCTCCATTCGTAAGGCTTCAAGCTGATCGATTCTAAAAACTTTTGCTAATTCCTGCAACAAATTTTATTCAGCATTTTGTTTGAATCAATTGCCAAGAGTGAAAACATATCAATAAATGTTGGCTTTTAGGCACATAAATATAATCACGTTTTGGTTTGTTACCTGCTCCGACTGGAATAAATACTCTCCACTTTTTCATAGCTTCGTTGCACATTTGTAAGTTCGCTCTTCTTTCGGGCCTCCCTTTACGATCTCTGTGAAGCCGATTAGTGCATTTTCTTCCAGGTCGCCAAAAAATCCCAAGTTCAGCTCGGTGTTTTGGGCATACTGTTATGTTTAAACCTTCCTCCTCAAAATGACCAGAGCGAGCGAGAATTAAATCTTTCTCTGTAAAAATACTTGTCTAAGACATATTGACTGCTCTTAGATGAGCCCTGATATCTTTGTGGCATGACGTCCGTGGAAAATATTCGGTTACCCTTGGAAAGCGCTTGGATATATCACAGCATTTATTTGAGAAAGTTACAAATGAACAAGAAAGTGAAGCCATACATCACTCCGCAAGGTGTTGTAATTAAAGATACAGTGCGTTTTCAGTGGTAAAATCTCTAAAGAGAGAAATTTACATGAGTTGTACATTCGAAAGAAACACGCATCGATTACGTATTGCCATTGTGTTTATAATTTTGAACACAGAAATTAAAAAACAAGTCTAAAATTTCGAATAATCGTAGAAAGGACGTTTTCAGTTATAAAAAAAAGAAAGGAGATATTTTTGCTAAAACCTTTAGGCACTTCCTGTTTTAATAGGAAGTACAATTACCGCTGACCACATCCCGGGCTTAGGTTCTCACGAGTTCTCTCCGAGACCATGAAATATGGAGCTGTAAAGCAACAATCGATAAAATGAAATTATCATTTCAGTTCGCGAATTCTATCAGTTCGTATAATAATTTATGAGGGGATTGCCACTGTGGAGAAAAGTACTTGTAAAAGGGTGATGCACAAAGCGTGAATCAAGGTAAAAGTTTTTGTTTATTTTACTCATTGATCGAGTTCAAGTATTTGGTTTGTATTAGGGCTGTGATCATCCATTCGCGATTAAAAATCAACTGAAACAGCACAAAAAGAGCTACAGTAGCATTTTTCATTTTGACAACAGTAATAATATAGTATTTAAGAGCGACGGTGAGGAAATATCGACCATCGAGTGGCAATAGTTGAAAAATCGATTTCCTTCATGTTTCGTCCATAAATAGCTTTTAGGTAGATAAGTAATCTGATGTAAGTTGTTCTTGCAAAAAGCCTTTTATTTTCGAGAAAAGTAAGAATATCAGTTTTCGTGGTCAGAGTCTCAAAGTGGCCGTATTTTCAACCCGAAATTTGTTAGCATCATCTCTCTCCGCAAATAAAGCAGTAAGGAGAAATTTGGACACTTTCTATCAATAGAATAACTATTCTTCTTTCACTAGAAGATACTTTCAAAGCAATATCAAGACTCGTTGAACTAACATAATTCAAAAACGAAGAAAAGGCTTTTACGGTGACAAGAACATTAATTTAGTAGTTGTTTTCTGCGGCATTTTTCTTCTTGTGTTATAGCTCCAAATTTTCTCGGTTCTCGTTTATTCACACATTTAGACACTCATCTAAAGCATACCTGAGAATTAGCTTGGGTTCCTTTAGGTAGCCTCCAAACGAAAGCATCGAAGTCCGTTAAAAATAGTGAAGCGTGACCAAAATAACTTATGTAACGGCTCCAAGTTTCCTCGATCGTAAAGCAACAAGACGAAATATCTTCCTGTTCCGTCATCCTTAGCAAATTACCATTGTTATGTATAGGGCTGATTTAGTTTGTTCACACAAGGAGATTGTTAAGGAAGTAAATAAAATCATTTATAAATTTTATTTGGAAAGGAAAAGATAAAGTGAAACGCTCAGCGTTAATAAGTGATGTTGAACACGGGGGTCTAAGAGCACCACATTTGGAGACAATTATTAAAGCACAGCGATTTATGTGTTGTAAAAAATTCGCTAATTCTCAGCAAAGCAGTTGGAAAATAATTATTTTACATTATCTAAGATAGGTCGGAGGTAAATTACTTTTAAGCTGTAATTTTAACGTTAAAAAAACGTACCCAAATTGTTTGAAGAATGTTTACAAACTTTTTCTGAACACTCTGCGTCTGTAAGGGAACAGATCCTTAATTTAAGTAACTCTTCCAGATCTAGCACAGTTATATGGAACAACAGACGCATTCTAATCGACGGAAAATCGGTGTTCTATCAAAGGCTTTTTGACAAAGGAATAATAACGCCAGAAAATCTCGTAACGACACTAATGTTCTACTAGTCAGGCAGAATCCAAACGGGTTTCCTTTCACACCTCTTGAATGGTTTCACTTAATTCGAATTTTTGAGGCCCTACCAACTCAATGGCGAGAATCCTTGACCTCTTGCGGACCCAAAAGTGGCAAAACTTTTTTTTTTGTATGATCAAATTAAACTCTATCTTAAAAACCAGGCCGTACAGATCGAGAACGTCCTTTCCAAGAATGTTTATTCTGAAATTAGAGCAGGATATGAAACCAGACCAACTGAACAAGCGAGATTTGAAGAACAGTTTCCTGATATATGCCTTGATTGGCACGATATTTATAAATTGCCTTTTAATGTTCTCATAGACAGGGCTTCTGATAGGTCGCGGGAGTAAACGTCAAATTTCGCGGGATTTTTAGGGACAAATTCGCGGAAAAATCGACCGATTTCGGGGGATTTACCTGAATCTCGCGGCTCCGCGACCGCGCGAAATATCAGAAGCCCCGCATAGACACCAAATCCAGAGAATTCCAGTATAGAATTTTCAACAGGTACTTGACAACAAACTCTTTTCTTTATAAAATTGGTCTAGCGAATTCACCATTATGTACATTTTGTAAACAATAGAGCGAATCCCTTAAGCATTTGTTAATTATATGTTCCTGTACTAAGAGTTTCTTGTCGGACTTTCTTAGTTGGAGTAATCAATTACACATATCCTTAAGAGACCTTTCAGACAGCGATATGCTTTTTGGATTTTGGAAAAGGAAAGAAGACCACTTGTTTATTGATCACATGTTAGTCTTAGCTAAGCAGCATATTTATGAATGTCGTAACAAATGTACTTATCCTTCCTTTACAATTTTTTTTAAATAAAGTCAGTTATGTTCATCAGTTAGAAAAGAAACTTATGATTCAAATAACAAATTCGCCTATCAGGGAAGTAAATGGGAAAAGTTTCAGTTATTCTGCCGTGGTAGTGAGAATTATAATGCAAAAAAACTTATATCCTATTTTATAGTAGTAATTGTACCTAAACAGTCTTTGTATCAGCCATTATTTATGCATACTAGGAAGTGTATTTTGTGTACTTGTAGTAGTAGTTTATTGGTATAGATGTAGTAGTGCTTGTATAAAAAAAATAAATAAATACATAAAAAAAATTTTAAAAATGTTAAAAAAAATTGTTAAAGTCCTTATTTTTCGATACAAAGTGAGTACCAGAAAAAGCGCGTTGGATTTTTTCTTCGTCAAAATATATACTGTCGGGATCGAAAATGTTACTCTTTCAAGAATTGCGTTGCGTTACTACGGTGATTCTGTGACTGTCATTTTGACGGCCCCATCTCTTCAAACGTACGTTATGTCATGTGCAGTCACGGAACAGATTGTCACGCAGAGTCGCCGGCTGGTAGAGTTCAGTTTTTCAAAATGGCTAAAATTGACCCAGTTTCACCTTTTTACCCCACTCTTTGATTGGAAAAAGGACTTTTGCATTGAGAAAACCTACAGGAAGTACAAAAAACGAGCATTTAGGCTATAAATATCTACTTTTGTTCGTTTCGAAATTGGAAGTGTTTACACAATTACTGCCGGCCTACCATGAAAATTCCTGAACTTCGATGGTGCCTTACAGAGATTTCATTCAATAACCCAAGCCAATTGCCAGGTATGTTTTAAATGAATGTCTAAATGTGTGATTTAAATGGCATGAAGAGAATTTGGAGTTATACCACATGTTAAATATTTCCGTCGAAAGTGAGTAACGAACTTAAGTTTTTGTTATCCTGAAAATCTATCCCTCATTTTTGAATTATTTCAGTACGACGAGCTACGCTATTTCCCTGAAAGTCTCTTTTGGTGGAAGAAAAGGAATTTTTCTGTCCATGGAAAGTGTCCAAATTTCTCCATGCGACTTCGTTTGCAAACGCGAGGAAAGTTAATGTTAGCGAATTTCAGGTTAAAAATTAGGATAGTCTGAGACTCCGACATCGAAAAGCGATCTTTCAATTTTTCTCACAAATAAAAAGCTTTTGGCGGGGACAAGCTACATTAGGTTTTCTCATCTACCTAAAAGCTATCTATTAACAAAAAATGAAAGACATTGGTTTTTCAACTCTTGCCACGAAATTAAGATTTTGGTCGATTTTTCCTGACCGTAGCTCTTAAATATTTGGCCACTCCTTTCTTCATGCAGACATTACGATTCTAATCTGGGCGCTGTTAATACCATCAGTGTAAGGGATACTGCAATGAATACAAGCTTCACTTTGACTTAAAGTGGTAAAAATATTATTCATAGACCCAATTATTTCGTTATACGAGAAATTACGTTGACAAACGGATCGTGGGACATTTTATTTTCGATGAGTTTGTTTTCTGTCATTGTTCTGTCTCAGAAATGATGCTGTCGAGTCACGTGGCTCAGAAGCCAGGAAATGTGAGATGCCAAAAATTTTCTTCCCCATTTTATACATCATGGATGGGACTAAATCATTGTGCAAACAGTTTTAAAAAAGAAAGTTGGATTTCTCAGATATTTTGATCTAAACTTGAGCTATTTTCTCTTATTGCATAATCTTTGGTTATATGGGTGGGTACTGACATCCCTTGATTGGCAGCTGTCACTCCAAATGACTTGAAACCGGCGGTTTTAGTTGTGTCGAAGAGGGTTAAAATCCATTGTATCTTGTAACCAGGAGCAGTGTCTAATTTTGATGCTTTTTTTCGTGAAATTTTGATGATTAAGGACAAAAATCCGGGGGGGGGGTGGTCTAACTTCCAAGGGAATAGTTGGAAATCAGACTCACTTTGTCTTTGGGAGTTATTGGAGAGATAGCTTGTGCCACGCCTGCCTGGTCCTATCATGGACACAGTCTTAACTAATTTCAAAAACTAATTTCAATAAGTTCTTTCAGTTACTGCTGGCAACATATCCAGGGAATTGTTTTTGTGTTTACAGAAGGACTGGTTGAAAACGGGATCAACTATTGCAAAAGGCCTATTGACCTGGTCAAACGATAATTTTAAATCAATGGGGAAATGTGAGACTGTAGCACTTGTCCATCTCATCTCACCTGAAAGATTGTCTAATATGTAGATTTAGCCAGGGCTAAAAGCGAAGCTCCCATTAAAAATTTATAGTTTAAATCAAACAATAATCTTGTAATCCACAAATCAATTAACTCTAGGGCACGTTGGTCAATGTGATTTTTAAGGGAAAGGCTAAGTGATTTTAGACAGAAATCAACCCCTCCCCCCTCCCCCACCCCGAGAAAATAAAAGCAAACACCTGGAAGCCGGCTTAAAACATTAACTTAAGCTTTAAGCTTAGAGACCCAGGATACTTGTCAACACCACTCGCACTTTCAACAGCTCGCACTGCAAATTTGGCGCTTGTCAAAAAGGAGAACCGTCTGTATTTCATTTTGTATATCCAGTGGAAAAAGACAGTTGAAAGCCTCACAAATTGACACAAAACTCTGTCAGCTTCAGTCGCCAAAGTTAAGAAGTTTCAGGATGCTGAATAAATTTTTCGCATGAACTCACCTGCCAAATTTTAACCATTCAGAGCATAAAAACTGCACGTAGTGCGTGACCAACGCGTGAACATGATGAGAAAAGTCAAAGGCAACCGTCTTCCCTCCCTGTAACGGGTAATGGCTGGCTAAATGTTCGCGTCTGAGGTCAGTTTGAAATCAGAATTTGAATAGTGCGACACATAAATACAGCATATTTCATATTAATTTTAAAAAATAAACTTGAGCCTGCGATCATTTGAAACTAGGATGCATCAATCTACTTACCCATGGTGCACCCCTGGCGCGCGCTTCGGGCGCGAGTGAGCTCCGTTATGACTATAGCATTATAACTCTGACTCAATCTTACAAAATTCTGATCAAAGGTACATGCTGGAAATCACCGCTTTAAGATTTCCTAAATGCTGGAATTTCTTTAATTTTTAAAAAAATCGCAGATATAGTATAACGAAAATTATACGATATATTCCAACAAGAACTGTTTTTTTTTCTAATAGTACGGTTGTTTCCATGCGCGGGTCGTCGCGGGTCTAGACCCTGTTTCAACCTTGTTTTGGACACGCGAAATTGGCACCTGGGCTTAAGACGGCTTTCTTCGGTCCACTTAGATAAAAGGAAATCTTTCGAGGAAAAAAATACATAGCGTTCTTATCCTTACTAAAATGTAGTTTACCTCTATGCAAAAGAGGAGAACATTTAAATTTTTGAGCAGCTGCTGTGATTTGGTGATTTTGGTTGATTTTTGCACGTATTCACTCTTAATCAGTGCGTTAACTAATACTGCAATAAAAACGAGTCGGGGAAAAAACTCACGGTTGCTTTGCAAGGTTGTTTTTGCTAACCATTGTCTTCTCGGCCACAAATACTTTAGTTATGGTGCTGGCGAAGGCCATCGTTATTGCTAGAAAATGTACCACTACCACAACTGCATCCCCGATGATGTGAAAAAATGCGATCTGTACAGTTCCAACGCCTTTAGTTGTTTCTAAAAGCGATCCAAAAGCTCTTAACGTAAGAAACATCGTGTTAACGCCGTACAGATATCCAGCTATAGCTAGAATCCTGTTGTTGTTTGCTGATTCCGATTCCACCCATATGGCAATTCTCAATGGCAGTATGGCAAAGATATAAACAACAAAGGTAAGGAAATCGAAAACATTCCAACAATCCCTACAATAAAAACCAAAAAAAGAAAAAAGTGAAAATAAACCACACATAATAAAACAAACAAAAGATAATCTATATCCACACCTCACGCCTGAGAATCTTACACCTTAAAATATTTTATCTTTATTCTCTTAATGATTTCGAAAAGGCGGTAGTGCGTTAATAAATCTTATGTTATTGTTACAGGTCACGCCAGATGGGTGAGGCTTCAAAGCTGCCGAAATAAGACGAGGAGTTCTCCCCGCTTGTACCCCCTGAAACAGGAATTACCCAGGTCAGCTTTATGCCTACAATGTACAAAGCATGAGCTTGGCGTCCATATACGCACCTTCACCCGTGCGTACAGTAAAGTCATATCTTTTTGTTGTCTTTCCTGAAGGCATTTTTGTCGTTAAATCAGAATGACTGATAAATGCTTCGCATTATATCGGCATGTTTCCTTTAGCATTTGATTTAGGTTGAGACGTGCGTCGAGCGAAACTAAAGCAGTTCAAGCTGGAGACAGAAAACTCTTACTCAAAGTACCATAGGAGACGAGAGATTGATCTTTCTTGCAATTCTGCACATAGAACGTTGACATTGATAGCGTTGTAACAAAAAGCTAATGGTGTTTGAAGGGTAGACTTCTCGCCTTTTGCTTCTAACCTTCTACCCTTCCGTAAGCACTGTACCTTACCAAAGACTCAAATAGGTAAAATAGACAGCTAACTACTGCATTTTCTTTCGTATTAGTTTAGTAAAAATATTTTGCGGTAAACTCTGCTGACGGACAATAAAAAGAAGAAAAGGATCTAGGCCTTGTTTAGAGTCCTGGTAACCTCTTGCTAGAGAGATATCCCCGTCAAATAACCCTCTTACAAAAATAGCTTTTCCGAGTCCGTAAATTTGAACATTTTCTGTCCCCAGATCCCACTGGTTTGTAGCGTCTTCAGTGCACTAACTTTTCTTCCCGTGCGCCCACCTTCGAAATCTCAAGTTACGCCCTTGATACGGCACATTATCAGGTGCAATTGCACGAACGAGTAGAGAGAGCGTGGGTTTTCCTGGCTAGTTTTTACCTGTTTATGTCAAAACCTAATTGTAAGGAAATGTAAATGTAAATTAGTACATGATTGAAGATTTATTGGACATGTGTTACCGTGATAATTATAAAATTATAAAAAAAACAAGGAATTTATTTATACCTTGAATAGGTGAATATAAAACCTTTTAGCTTTGCTTTACAAAGTGATAGTCCAGTGATCCTGTGTTCCGATGGTTTTCTCGCAAGATCGATAATTTGCTTTATTTCAGTTAAAAAGCGACCGGCGAAGAAAACCAGAATTACCCATTCTAGTGCACTAAACGACAGTTGGGACGACTCAACACTTAAAGCCAAATGCAGTGCCAGCAGTACCAAGTAGCTTATAGTATCCCGTGCGAAGATGAAGCAGGGAATCTCAAAATAGGCTCTGTATGTTTTGTGTATCCCTGTGGAGAAGTTGACAACTGAGTTGGTCAGAAACTAAAATTACTTTAAAATTAAATTTATAGCCGGTGGTCATAATTATCAAAACTTGAATAAAGAAGAGGATTGAATCGTGAGTACGAAATTTAAAAGCAGCTTTATTCGGATAGGAGCCCAAAAAAGAAGCAAATAATAAGAACGATGATGATGATGATGATGATGATGATGACGATGACGATAATCGTTATCATAAAGGTAATGACAACGAGAATGACGACGACGACGACGAACATGATGATGTGATCATCATCGATCATCATCGTACACTGTAAAAACTGACCAGTTATGATCACTATTTTAAAAGGGCATAACCAGTTGCAAAAGGTAATTTTAACCTATAATAAACTAGTTAAAATCATAACCTTTATGTTATCGGGGACCTTTAGCAGTGACGACGAGCACGTGAACGTCAACCATGGGAAGCTGGAAAACGAACCATGATGCTACCACGCATGCCCAAACGAACACGAGCTCGTCGTCCACACCTCGTTGAGGACGCCATTTGGCGCCATCTGCCGTCCCGTGGTGAACGTGAGTATTGCTTGACTTATTTTCTTATATTTCCTGACGTAATTCTGCAATTTCTTGAATCCCAAGGTTTTTCTTAGTAGATAAGACAGAAGCCATAAGTTATTCCTGCTGCTTTGAAGTAAAAAACCCTGATTTTTTCGATGTTGCAGGAAAAATTTAAGTCTTAGTATAACTGCACTCGGTCAAAGAAGTGATGGATACAGCAGGAACATCAGGGTAAGTTTCAACAATTTTATAAATATAAGTTGTATTATTTAAACCGCATTAGATAACAGTTTTGTAATCAATCCTGTCAGGATTTTTATGAAGTTTTGTTCGTCTTTGAAAGTCTAAACTATTCGTGTAAATACATTTGCGGTACGAATCCACCTTAGCTAAAATCTGGATAAACTTACCTCACTTTTTTGCTGATATAAAAGCCCTCTTAAAGCCAAGTTATTGTAGTCGTCAATTTTTGCACATGAAGATTTTTGAAATCGTTCTACAGTCATATTTTACGCTGTACTGATTTTCACCTCGGGTAAAAAAGTTTATTTACAAATAATTTTTACTGCAGCACAGAAATCGTTTTAGGCAATTAATATGGAATCAAAAGTTTGTAAGCTTACCAGTATTAACACTGCTTGTAAAAATATAATTATTGGCACTTTATATTCAGAAATTATTCCATGAAGTGGTCAGAAGAGCACGATCTCATGCTATGCAGAGAAGTTCTTGTCATGGAACCATTCAAGCACCAAAAGCAAAGTAGAGAGAGAGGAGAAATCTGGGGAGAAATAGCACAAAACTTAAATGGGCTCAGTGTACCCAAATTCACTGTAAGAACGCGGTTTGTTAGGGACAGGCTCACTCTTTTGCTGAGGAAGTACAAAGAAAAGGTGAGAAACGAAGAGCAGGGTTCTGGCATGAAATGTAACGAGGAAACAGAATTGGAGATGGCATTGTCTGAAATCATAGAAAAAGAACAGGCAGCTGATTTAGAAAGGAAAGAAAACACGAACACTCTTACCAAGAAGAATGAAAACCACAAGGCGTCAGCCGAAGAAAGTAGTTTGAAGGCCTTGGAGCGCTTGGGCCAAACAAAAGAGAGGAATGCTGATTCATGTGATGAAGATATCAAACCAAAAAGCAGAAGAAGTACCACTGAAGCTGTGCAAATTCTAAAAGAAAAATTTGAGGATGAGAAGGAATTACGGAAGGAAGAAATGAAATTGAAGAAGAAAGAGCAAGAAAATAAAGCAGCTCAGCATCAAATGCAGATAGATCAGTAGAGGCAGAACCAGCAACAGTACCAATATGTAATGAAGATGATGGCTGAACAGCAGCAGAGGCAGGAACAGCAGCTACAGAACTTTCAAATACTTTTCCTGCAGCAGCAGCAGTAACAACAACAACAGAGTCAAATGTTAATGAGTTTACTGAAAAAAGTAATGCCCAAATCCTCATAAGAGCTGGCAAAGGCAAAACAAAAGTTGAAAATCAAAGTGTCAACCTTTGGCTCTTTCAGCGCTTTAGAGCGATGTTGTTGTTATCATAATTTCTAACTGATTATTTTCCAACTATAATTTTGTCTCTTTTTTTTTTTTTTTTTTGGTTACTTTTCCTGTCCAGCTTGGTGTTTATTTTTTCTTCACCTGACTTCAAAGGTTGATGGGTTGTTTACAACTCTGGAGAAATGAATTTTCTTAATGCAGTGTTTACAGTGATCAAAGATACATAGTTGAAGCTAAGATAACTTAAGTAAACCCTTTCACTCACAAGGATATAGAAGTTATGAATTAAAACTTCAAATTAACTATCACATGGCTGATAAAATGCTGCAAACCTTTGCAGTAACATCACATAAGAGTCATTGCTGCTAGATAGGTGGCATAGTAATTAAAAACATGGTCTTAAACATCGTCGTGAGAAAGAAAGTAGTACATTGATGTTTAGACACTGGGAGTGAAAGGGTTAAATTAAGCTGTCTTTGAAATTTTAGAACGTTAGCGTTAGGATGTGCTCCATTTTCTTACATTTAAGCATAGGTTGAGCAAAACATTGAAATAAGAATAAAATACACATACCCTTTTCAGTACTCTTTTGAAACATTAACATCTTATTACTAAGTGTCCGGCTCTGGAAATATTTATATATTCCTTTTAAGCCTGGGGCTATAAAGGGGA